GGGCTGTTGTGAGGGTGCGCTCTTCACACTTCAGAACCGTCTGAGCTTCCCGCCATGCTGTGTCCCGCCCCGTGGCGCTGCTCAGTCTCACGGTGATGGTGGATCCGACAGTCAGCACTGCCTGGGGTGTAGTTACTCCCACCCGTCGCTCTGTCTTTGAGACAGTAAAACAGTACGAGCTGTGGGAAGTTCTTCCATCTCCTTTAAAACAACGTACTAATGAAACCAAGCGCTAACCCTTGCTGCCGTAATACCGTTTTTAACGGATGCGTGTGTAGGCGGAGTTCAGTAAAAGGACGTTTGAACTGCTTCTCTTCTAGCTGTTACTTTATTTCATCTGAAGATGACTTAGCATCGTGACCTGCGTGAGGTTCCCCCGGAGGCGGACCCCCAGGAGCAGGACTCGGACATCCTGCAGGCACAGCTGGGCCGCAGGCACAAGTCCCCAGCTCGGCTGTGCTGAGGCCTGGGCCCGCCCCCGCGGACCGAGAAGGGCTGAGCTTGGGCGTCTCCCTCTGCCCTCCACCCACCTCGAACCCCTCAGCGGTCCTGAGCCCATCCTGATAACTGGACTGGTCCAGGGACATGCCCTTGAGGAAAGATCCAGAACGCTAGGGCTGGGTCTTGCACGATCGGTGGGGCTTGCAGGAATCTGGGTCCGAGGGGCCAAGAGTCCAGGTGGGCCAGCAGGCCTGGGCGCTGGGCAGAGCAGGGCCGTGGGAATGGCAGGTGGGCCCCCCCAGGAGCTGAGTGGGGGGTGCCCAGGGACCCCTCACCACTCGGGCCCTGAAAGGCCCTGCTCACGACACCGCTGGGGGCCTGCAGTTCTCCTCAGCAGCCAGTGTGGCCCCACAGATGGGGAGCCGAGGCCCGAGGTGGGCTGGGCCCCAGCAGGACCTGGACTGTCCACGGGGAGAACAGGCCCCACCCGGAAGCCCCACCCTTGCTCTCACCACGAGGCCCGGCCTCAGGGTCCTGGGGGACGCGGCAGGGTCTCTGCCACTCCGCGTGGTCGTGGCATGGTCTCAGCTTCTCCCTTTGCAGATCACTCTCCCACCCAGAGAAAACAGAACAAGCAAGCCAGCCTCTCGACCCCACTTCCCCTCTGCCTACTGGCCCCTTCCCTGCTCCCTGCAGACCAGCTTCCCTGGGCTCCGGTCAAGGTCACCTCAGCACTGGAGCCCCATGGCCGGCCCCTGGGCCTCAACTTGACCCCAGCAGCCCCGTCCCGGCCATTCTCTCCCTGTGCCTCCGCCTCCAGGATGCCCTCAGCCATACCTGCCTCTGACGCCTGGTTCTGGGGCTCGGAACTGTCCTGTCTGCATTGTGGGCTGGTGAGCTGAGGCTTTCTGTCCCAGGGGCCAGACACTTCACCCAGGTGTGTGATGGGTGCCCCAGACTGCCCCCCTCCAGGGTGCACACCCCGTCCGCCAGGGAGCCCTGTGGCTCCAACTGCCAGAACTTTGCATCCTCTCTCTGGCTAAGAGCTGGGCCAGGCACGTCTCCACTCACCCATGGGCCCTCGCTGTGTCCTCACACGTGCACAGAGGCAGGTTTACAAGAGGCTGGAGCAGTGGGAGCCACGGAGGGTTCTAGGGGCTGAGTGGGAGCCAGACCACAAGCTGCCAACAGCTCAGAAAGGGCCACGCTGGGGCTCCTTTTTCACTTTAGGTACCATTCACCTTATTGCTAATTTATACTAGTTATATATTTGTAGTTTTTCACTGTGTTATTAGGGGTCATGAATCCCCCAAAACTGGATGGGCACCTGCCTACAGGCCCCTACATAAGCCCAGCCCATGACCTGCTCCCCTCTTCGCACTGCCACCCTCAGCTCCCGAGGTCTGAATGCAGTGCTCCCCGCTAGGCCTTCCTCGACCACCCCGGAGGGACTGCTTCCCGGGCCCCCCACCCCACTGTGCTCTCGGCCCTCCCCACTGCAGCCCGCTGAGGCTCTGGTGGGGCCTGGGCCTGTGTGGCTCGCCAGGGCCCCAGACAGACAACCTGCTGAATATGGAGGACAGTGAGGGCACCGGGAACCCCAAGCCACCGCTGGGGTGACCCGGGGATGCTCCGGGGCTGGTGGCCCGGGTTCCCCTTGGGGGCACAGCCACCAGCCCGCCCGCCCGCCCCCTTCCTGCCACACTCCCCGGCGCCCCCAGCAGAAAGCAACCAGACGAGGTCTGCTGCTTGTACTAATGTATTCCATCTTTCAAAAAGAAAGACATGATTTTAATATTACTTAACAATATGTTAA